TGTATAGGTGGCAATGACTTGTTTTGTGTAAAATAGCTTTATTTAACGTCCGCTTCCACCGAGGTGATATCACAGACAACGACTTGTTTTGATCCTATACCGTTTATATAGTCTGCAGACGGTGCCAAATTCAATTCTGCACATCCTTGTAATTAATGAATTGAATCAGGATAGGACTGATATATGCATATAACAATGTAAGTTTTTATGCAATAAAGTTTCTTTCATTCTACTAATGAAATTCCTTAAATAAGTTATGTAGTCCAGTTAAGCAAATCATTTTCGAATGTTTCAATATTTTGATTTTTAATTTCCAGACAAGGTAAATAGGATTTTCGTAACTTGTGTTTTTTCGTTTTATTTACATACTTATTAAACCCAGTTCTATTCAATGTGCCGTGTGTTAATCTGGGACTGCCACTTGGACTTTGTTCTCGCGTTGTGTTTGTTGGGTTTCACTCCGAGGATTTCCTGTAGGCAGAATCCATTTCTTTTAGAATGTAAAGGTGCGTTCATAATGGGGGTTTAATCTGAACTGAACTCAGAATAAAGTCTTATTCCGGATTTAGGCGTCACATTTAATTCGCTAAAATCCGAAGTGAATCTGTAGTAACGAATCCGTATATTTTTTCGAATTCAATCTGGAACAACTATTCCCAATCGGGTTATTCGCAGTCAAAATTTGAGTGTGGCGCGCTTGATTCAGATCAACGGACTTATCGGAACCGAATAACTTTGCGCGCATGTTCACTTCTACTTCCGTTTTATCGCTTGGCGGGAAACGTGTGTATTTTCCGGGCCAATATTCTGCAAATAAATAAAGACTTCTGTTGCGAACAAGAATCAGTTGGTGTTTAGCCTACATAGATGTGGCCCTACCTCACTAAATCATATACTACGGTAACATAACCAGTTAAAAATCCAAATACATAGATATGGTGTGTTCAGATCACGGCTGTTCATTTAAGGACTAGACATTGGAGGCAGGACAGGACAGGCCAGTTCCAGACGTCTTGAGACTAGTCTCTGGCATGTATTGTATGTAGTTCGATTACAATGACATTATGTTTAGTGCTGAAACTATTTTAATTATGAATTGCATCTTCGCTAGTACAGAGTCGAGATTGAAGTGCATGTACATACTTGTTGAATGTTGATGCATAGAAATCGCGACCATTCGCTTTTGATTCTGGTGCAGACGAAATCGTGCCCGACGCTCAATGGCAAAATGCCGAAGAAGCAAGGTACGGCGTCGCTGATGTAGCCTTGCTCGCCTAAAGAAATTAAATATTAGCCACAGAAGATCACGAATACAGATGACGGGCGCATCCATCTTGGATATGAATGACCTTCACTTCTGCTAGTTATGCGCGTTCAGTGTGGTACGTTTCAGTTTGAATTCAATATGCATAAGCTGTAATGTGACGCACCGCTTTTAATCCGAGACAAACCAATCCGAGTGTGAACGCAGCTTAAAGGAGCTAAATTGCTAACATTTGGGACCTATAAATTGACAAAAGTGGGTCGCAACGCATATAATACTGTAATATGAATGTATATAAACTGATTTACATTCAATGGTTTCCGTTTTTACTCCAATTTCAAATCAGTTATGTTCGGCGAAATAAGCCAGCAGTCTCAATCGAGTGCAAATTTCTAGCGTAGGTTATATCAGTCTACATACGCCGTTTGATTTGGTACAATGTGTCTAGCCTCGTCCCTCGAGTCTCTTGTTACAACTGGGGCTGAAGCGAATTATGGTACACGATTCGTGTACCAATGGTAAAATGTTTATTTTGTCTTACATATTGGATATCAAAAGCCAATCTTTTTCCGGTAAGATCACAACAAAGACAAATAAATCGTGTTTTCAATGTTGAAGATTTTGGATGATATTGAGTTAGAGACTTAGCTACTTTAAGTACTTACAGACCGGGTACACGACAGCTTAATACTACGGACATGTTGGTTGTCGATGAGAGTAACCACTTTTAAAATGAAAATGTTTGCTTTTTAAAAGTGAATGTTAAATGTCGAGACATCTATTTTAACAATGTTCTTTTGCGTATGTTTAAGTTTTATGAGGCGCCCTTTTAGTGGTGTTTAACAAATCTACAAAAAAAGGCTAATTCGTAATAGATTATCAGGCACTTTGATTCTCTATACTTCAAACGAGTGTAATGCCGGCTTTCCGCTGTCGGCCCCAGCATGCTAGTTGAAATTTTATCAGATCCTCGTGTAAAATGTCGGGAAATTACCTCCTATCATTTACGTAAGAGGTCGAAGAGGCTTGCAGCAGCAATTCACCTTATCATTGATAGTTGTAAATATTGTATTACTCCAACCATGATATTTTACTCTCTATACTTAACATTCAGCATTCAGGCGCCCCGCCCAGCTTGTTCCCTTTAACACCAAACATCTTCCTGTGATGTTTGGTGTTGTAAGAAATCCGTACGATCCTCGACGCCCAATGCATCACCGAGCGCAGTGTTTATCCCAGGAGAGGTTGCATTAAATGCTACTAACGTGAAAGATTATCGTATTTATGACGTAAATGTTGTCGGGTCTATTATGCGAGTGCATGAATCCATGACCGAACCTGTATTCATGTCCTGATCTTTTGGCACAGACGAAACTTACACCATAACCTCGATATAAACTTATTTTATAGAAAGATAATGTCGGGGGTGACATGCTAAATGGCCGATTGACATTCCGTGCTCACAGTAAATCCCACAAATAAAAATGAATGGCTTTTGGTCTGATTAGCATAACGGTGCCGTTCATAAGGTAGGGGTGGGGTGACTAAAAAATTATGAAAATGAGAATTCCAGCCCGCTCATCCACTATGGGTGCGGAAAAGTTCCGAGGAGTGTTAATGGCCCCCTCACTATGTACGTCTTTCACTAAGACTAGTGCCAACAGCCAACAGAGGATCGATGTGGCGTGGTTAATGGTATTCCTTTGATAGTGCAGATATACATGCATCTACAGTTCACGAGAAATTATTAAAAAAACAACCCCTTGAAATTAGCCTAGAGTTATTATATACACGACTGCGCATACCAAATGAAGAAGCTTAGTTCAAAGCCTCTGGTACATACGCCAACGCAATGTAACAACACGTGTGCATCGGCTGATCTTAATACGACGGGTTTTTATCTCCCGTTGAGTAAGAGAATAAATGTTGTTTATTTACTTCCATGAGAACTTTTGATTTTTGTTTGGGCCAATACATTTCAAGTTTATCTTGAAGTACTTTGTATATACGAAAGAAAAAATGTTGGAAAAGTACGTTTCTTCCGAACTTATCTCAATAGTTGTGTTTACAGCTTGTATGCACAATAACCTTGTTTCATTTCCAAGTAGATTTTGTCAATTGTTACTAGGCCGAATCATACTGACAGATGTCTAAAGATCAACCGAGCCTCTTCCTAACATCGACGACACACTAAAACGGCACATAGTTGGGTCGTTGTATTTTTTTGTAATATTCTTATATCGACTATTTTACCGAAAATCTGCCCAAAGAAAAGTATGTTAGCTTGGCAGTTAGTGAAACAATAATCGTATTTGTACGCCGTGAATGCGATCTAGTACCTGTTTCAAGTAACAAATACATGTAAACAACCTACAAGTCGAGTATGGTGACAGCTATAGTTTTAATTTTTCAGATTGATATTCAAGCTACATTTAGACGGTACCATTGCGTTATCAATCGCAAACGTGTAATTTGTTGGGGTTTTATTTCAAGGCGCTTCTACAATAAATAGTATCTGATGTTATTGAAGCTGTCTGAGACAGTTGGTACATGTAGACTAGAAGTTCAAGCTATGGGTGGATTCTATCCGACATGGGATGAGACCTTTTGCCGAGTGGTATTACATAACCAGATGCACCCTGACATCATTCAATAGAGCCAAAATTAGAAGGTTAACTAAGGTCAAGCTGTAGATCACATTACGCGACTGATCTATAGTAAGAAAAGATATGCAGATTTTTTATTCTCTGTCTGAACTTCAATGTGCCTAAAATGGCAGATAAACAAATATAAAGGTCTCGTGGTTATTTAGCCAAGAAATTGATCTTTACGAGTTGCTGTCACAATAGACCATACACCGTGGTAATGATAGCTATTATTACACAATAATATAAAAAAAAATACGAGACACCTTGGATATGTTTTACTGTGTCTTAATCGAGTGTGGCGCCTACTAGAATACATGTTAATGCAGTGGTAGTTTTTTTTATTATTATTATTTTCCATTATATAATATTTGTGAGTTTTAAAATATATCTCCTGATACTCAAATAACAAATATAGTACTGTGATAAACTTTTGACTAGTTTCTCCTTGTCAGTGGTGCAGGACGGGTGGTCTGACAATGACAGCTGTCTAGTTCTTTGGATGGGACGAAAAACCGAGGTCCCGTGTACACATTGACGTGCACGTAAAATGACCCTTGGTAACAGCTGGAATTCGATATAGGAGTAGGCAGGGTTCTGTTTTACTTTTGGAGCAATTGCAGACTGTGTCCTGTAGAGCATTAAAAAGGTTTAGGTGACAGGGGCAATAATATTTATTTTCGATAGGATTTCTTCTTCAGATAATTCGAGCAATCGCGGCAAGTTTGATGACCATATTCAAATATATACAATGATATAAATTATGAAAATTTTCTAGAAACAATAATAAAAAAAATGGATAACATAGACAATCTCTGAAAAGTCGGAAAATGAGCGCACATAAATGAAGAGATACAGGAAGATGTATCAAATCAGATGCTAAATATGGTATTTGTAATAATAATATATATGCCAGGAAGTGGAGGATGACATTAATTTTCTAACATCTTGTAAAGACATGCAGAAAGAAGAAAAAGACTTTTATATTAAGAATCAACTTTGAATGAATTGAACGATTTCCAACAATTTAAAATATATATTTGTGTACATTTAACTATGTTTATTTGTTTTTTTACGTACATTTTATTATTCCTGTATGCAAAATAGGTTTTCTTCTTTTATGCTCTTACATAAAATGTGGGCATATAACAATCCTTGTAAGTCTGAAAAAAGATGGTCTCGTTTCTAGTTTACAGGCAGGAAAAAGAGGTGTATAGGTGAATAAATTAGGTTTTAAAAGCTCCTATCAATGCAAATTATCTATCAGCAAAATAATGATAACTGTTCTACATAAACACTTCTGATTGATGTCCCCGTGGATGTTCCTGATCGAGTAACGACAACATAGAAATACGGGCGTTCCCGAATTACACCATAATTAGCGGATAAGATACCGAAAGGACAAATTTCAACGCCTACTCTTTTTAAATTAAGTTAAAATGTATAAAGTAAGTTGTATTCATGTGTTCTTACAAAACCGCTGTATGAAAAAGTAACAACATCTATTAGTTATATGAACACATCAGACGAGAAGTGGCATCAACATAAAATATCTATTATCAAATAGTTCATTATGGAAGACTAAATATACAAAAATCAAAGCCCCTAGTTTAGTACTTGCAAAATATAAAACCTTAACCAAATCTGCGAATTCTAACTTAAATTATGGTCAATTGAAACTTACAGTGGTTTTTTTAATGGTTTCACTGCACCAAATAACTATAGTGATTCGTGGACAAAACCTGTCACAACAATTAACCGACTGGACAGAAGAACAGAGCCATACACCACCCAGACACTCTGTGTCGAACTGCCAATGGTGCCATTACGTGCACACAACTCGTATACGGGGCCTCGGTGTTTCGTCCCCTCCGAACGACTAGCGACTGTTTCTTACCAGAGTTCTCGTGCAGTACTAGTGACAATAAGAACCGGGTTGGAAAAACCCAGATGAACTTCCTAGGCCAACACAAGGATCGAACCTGTTTCCTCCTGGTTAGTGAGCTAAGGCCTGGATCAGTTAGCCACTGTGGCACCCACTGCACGTTATTGCTGAATTGGACCAGATTTAGATTTTCAAAGTGGAAACCACGTACCTTTAATGAAGCGCAAACGATAGCAAGAAGATGAATATCTTTGTTGTTATCATTTCCCTCATATTAATAATCTATGTTTATTTCCCGCACCTGCAAAAGAAAACGGTTCTTGGGAATCACTATCTTCGTTTTGAAATGAGGATTGGTAAAAAAATGACTCAATGTTTGTCGTGCTCTTTTTTTCCAAGCTAAAGGTGTATACTATCATCATTACCCAAAAGATTAGATATATAAATACTAATGTTATATGTTGAGTGTTGTTTATGTTATGTCACAGTGATGAAAGAGTGAGAACTGTTACGATAAACATGCTAAACTAACATCCCCGGTGTTAAAATAACAATAAATCTACATGTAGACCCCCAAACAAAGTAACAAACTTTTTACTTAATGAGTTCAGAAGACATTTTTTTTCCAAAGGGACCATTACTTCACTTATCTGGGCTGTAAGTTCTTCTGGAAGCCTACTGTGCACTATGATTAAAGCTCAACATGTGCTGTACAATCTGCGTGCACGTGCATGCATGTGTTCAATACTTGTTGGGTAAACAGAATTATAACATTTCAAAGAAGTAGATCAGATGAACAACCTGAATGAGACTTTCGGGAAATTTCAGCACAAATATTCGGAAAACGTGCCAAAAATAAGGCAAAAGCAACAAATTAGCCCATATTTCGGAAAGAACCTTCGACAACCGCATGAAAGAAAAAATAACCCCAAAAACAATTGCTGCATATTTAAAAAGTTAATGACCATAGATCGCATAAATCTTAACTTTTATTCAGGAACAGGTCCTATCAAATTAATTTCGACAGATGGGAGTGCCACTGGTAGCAAATATGGGAATCATAAATTATTGTAAAGTTCCTCCTAAATTGTGCATTTGTTACCATTAGTAATTAACATGTTCTTTTTAAGAAAAAGATTTTTCAAATTAAAATTGATAACAACATGTTCAGCAACACCTAATAAATTTTTACGAGTTATAGGAGTTAATTGGTGCAAGAACCCGGTTATGATTAGGTCCATTGACTTTTCTTATTACTTCTTGTTAAAGTTTATCACGAGTTCATTTAAAACTAATTGAGTTAGTTGGTAGTTAGACTGTGAATTCTAAATTGCCTTCAAGGCGCATCATATTGCAGTTATATGTAATTTTAATTTCTGTTTTAAAAAAGGGGGAATCGGTGCATTGGTACGTAGAATACCTTTCTCTTCCACTGTGAGGACTAAGAGAGAATATTGGCTATCAAAGTTATATTCGTTTATCTACTGTAAACACAATTTGAGGATTTCACACAGCTAACAAACTTTCGTAGCAATCCTTCATTAAACGATTTCTTTTAGTTTAAAGGAATAACAGAATATATTTTCAATACATTTAAGGCCAAATGTGCCAAAATAAACAATAGATACGATGTTCCAGGCCATACTTTTTCCTGAAATATAGTTGTATTGGTCGATTAGTTAACGTTTCTGTAAGATTGTTGCAATGCTGTTTCCAGGGCCCTTATTCACGGAAACTTAAACTAAGATAAAATCGAAATTTTAAGAAATACTGCAATTCGATTGGCTGACCAATATGCAAGTTGGATATATGCAAATTGATTTTACTGGTCAACCAATCGAATTGCAGTATTTCTTAAAATTTCGATTTTATCTTAGTTTAAGTTTTCGTGAATAAGGGCCCAGGTCGGTTATTGTAGTATTAGTGTTTCAGATAGATTGATGTTTCTGAAGATAGTGATAGTTATATTGATGTTTCAGATAAATTATTAAAATAAATTTTCTTGAGGATGTGTGTTTTGATGTTCCGGATTAGTTAATATTGATGTTTCAGATTGGTTAATGTTTCAGGACCATGATTGTATTTATTTCTTTAGATCGATTAACTTTTCCTGTAGATGATGGCATTGATGCTTTAGATCGGCTAATGTTTCTAGTGGTGTTTCAGTCAGTTTCAGATCTGTTAACGTTTCGGTTATCGTTTCTTGAACTTGAAGATTGAATTCTTAGACAAGTAAACTGTTCCGCGAGATTGTTGAAAGACAATGATTTTGGTGTTTCAGACCACTTAACTTGTTTTGTTTTTAAAGATGATAGCATTAGTATACCTGATTAGGGTTGTACTTCAATGTGGTTGGTTTCTGTTTCAGAACGGTTATCATTCCAAGGAGTAAGTTGGGTTTTATTTATTTCAGATTAATAAATGTTACTGGGATGCAATAATTGTTCGGGCCCATTGTTGTTAATGGAAAAGGTTTTTATTGATATTTAAGACTTCTAAACCAGCGTTACTTCAAGATTATTGTAAAGTTGGTTTTCTTTTCAGACCAGTTATCGTTACTACAATATGTTACTACAATATGTTAAGATTTGTGGTTGGTCCTATTGTGGTTCAGGTCGGTTAAAGGCTGTATCGTCAACCAAATTAATGAATTTAGATATTTGAAAATCCCCACACAACGACAGTGCAAATAAAAACAGATTTAGGTTGAAATGGGAGGTGGTTTATTCATCTTCATAACGTTTCGGGTTAAAAGATCCTTTATCAAATAAACCACCAACAGCTACACATACTGATCTACCAACATCCCAACCCCTGCTACACGTTTAAGGGTGTGTTGCTCCCCCCCCCCCTCTCGTTTCCTATCATTGAATTTAGATTAATTTGATGTGAACTATTCTCCGGTTATTGTTTCAGATTTGTTAACATTTTGGTAATACAACTTGCTGCCAGCAATTTTATATTCTATTTGCCAAAAGTTAGTACCTCAAACGTTAAACACAGATTTAGCATGACCTAATTTCGATACATAATAAAACTGCTATTTTAATTCATATTACCTATAGAGGTCTAATTTTTCTAATTCTATAATTACTGTCGCTTAGTAATTGTGCCTGGTTATGTCATGGGTTACATCTGAGTATATGGTTCACGTCCATACAAAGGTAACACTTTCTAACATATAACAACATCGGACCCGCCCAGTACTTGGATGGGTGAGTGCCCGGGGACACCCGGAGCTGTAGACATATCAAACGATGTCCATTATCCCGGTTGGTGCAGAAACATGTAATAAGAAACTTTAGCCTTACGCCCACGCAGAAGGTATTCGGGAAAATTTGACACAAAATGCGTAGATTAGATTTTGTTCTTTCATTGATAAATGACTTATAGTTTTTCAACTGTCATCTGATTCCGTTGATATTATGAAAAATGAGAATATTATCACTGATGTTCACGGTGCACTTTATACACACTTTTAACTGATTAGACAATTTATTTCTCGTGTCGCTTCTCTTGCCCTCAACTAGACGAAATATGCTTGTTCGGGTGAAGGGTAGATATATATTTCACTTCGTCTTCAAGAGATCTACAAGGGCATGTTTGCTGGTAATTTTATACAAATATGCCCTGCCCTGACCTAACCGCGTAATTGATAGCGCGACTTGTTTGACCTTAAAGAAATATATCGTGCACCTGGCCTCATACCCACAAATAGACAACATCTAAGAACCACAGCAAGCAGATCTGCGTTTCGTTTGTATATCCAGAAAGCGTCTCGCATGTTTTCTCGGCATGTGTGTATAGCTCACAAAAAAATCAAGAAGATTGGGTGTACGTAAATGAATGGATCTTGAGGAACATTTTGGCAATATATAAACCATTGAACTTTCCATACTAGTAGGTTAGGTCACTGTGACTTTATATGTATGTAATATACAGCTGTATATATTGAGATAGGTATATGTTGATTTCAACCAGCTGTGATCAGATCGGTGAAATCTACATCTTTACCCTCCGTGAACTTCAATATATAATGTCAACTATAATTCTCCACTCACTGGAAATCAATTTAACAGACCTTTTATGTAAATTCTGTTGAAATTTGTATTAATTTTAATATCACACTTCAAAACATATTAATGACAATTCGCATTTCATTTATCCATAAATTCGTCCAAACTATACATGGACAAAACGGTTAATGACAAAGAAGAAAGTGTTTAAAAATCTACCATCAGCTGTTTCCAAAACCTGATCTTGTTAAATTATGATATACAATTATTACCACGTTAATGAAAATCAGATATACCTTTATCCGTTTATATACCTACATTTATATATAAATTCCCATAAAACAACCATCAAGCTGTTAATTATATGTTGGCAATAATGTCCTATCGATCGTGTCGTAATGTCATATTGACCTGTGAATTGCCGTAGGAGGGAAGGAGTCTATAGAAAAAATGACCAATGCTTCGAAAATATTTTTGGGGGTACCATTTTTCAACGAAGCCCTCTTTTGGATTAGTTCCATGAGTTTATCTGGTTGCTGTGTTAAATGTCCTACTTTTCTGTATCGACTGGGCTAATCAAGGCGGGCATATAAGGGGAAATTTTTCCGGACAACGGCACTAAGACCTTCTCGTATTCCGAATTCCATCTGCCATGGATCTTTTACGTGCAAACCAATGTGTTCGTCCTATTAGACCGACTAAGCCCTCCGTCCTGTACCACTGACAAGGGGAAACCTGCACGCCGGAAAATCCAGAGGAACTTTCTCGGTTAGCACCGGGAGCAAACCCGATAGCGCCTGGTTGTGAGCTAGCGTCTAACTCACTGAGCCACCGCGGCTCCCATTTCGGAAAAGTAATTGAAGCCGGACTGTTTACTATATTAATTTTGTATATTTGACTTAAGTCCACTGTTGAATCTATGGACGTAAAACATTTTAACGCAGAACAATACACAATACCCATCTCACACATACCATCGGTTACGGTCTTAAAGCAATGGCTGTGAGCATTATCTGCACGTTAACAAGTGCACTCAGACTAATAATTACCCTTGTAGTTCCTATAGTTATAGCAATTCTCCCCTCCCCCCTTTGCATAAGAATTTCTGTTGAGCTTATGGTCTAGAATCGAAGAAGAATGTTTCAATTTCCATGTTCTGATGAATATTCATGATCTTGGGACGGAAGGATCAGGAATTAAACATATATGAATTAGGATGATCGCCTACTAAAATGACATCACTACTTATAGATTTCTTTGACCAGGCCTAACAAAAAATCGAAATGGTCAACCCCTTTCAACATTTTTATCAGCTGATTGTGACATATTGGACTCTGTGTGGTTTTAAAGATTAATGTCATTGGAATGTTCAAAAAAAATGTCATGGATTTAACATGGAAGTCAATGGGGGAGAGAATTACTAGTCTGATTCCGGGTTACTGAATAGTTATTTTCCCCTGAATCCGTTTCCAGTGTAGACCTTAAAACACAAAATGTGTGATCTCCTTATAATAATTCATTCTGAAGCAATAAATTTAGTCTAGCCAATAGAATATGATGTTAATAACTCTTAATTTATTAGTCTTGGTTGATAATTGTGATTGGATGAGAGCAAAATTGTTTTTCAGTCTTTTGTTGTCGGTACCTGCACATGTAGTATTTT